GATGGAAGGCTGACAGGCAGGTAGGCCATCCAGCTACTTTAGCCGGGCCGGCTAAAATGATTGGTCGTGCTTTTACAGCGCCACGGCTTCCACAGATTACATTTTTATGGATTTTTTGTCGAAGCACTAAAGATATTCATTGCTATCGGGATGTTAAGAGCATTCCATGGAATATAACAAAAAGTGTATCTCGAGCCGGTTTCTCAAACTTACCTACCCCACCTTTAAGATGTTTAAAAGGATAAACGAAATATTTTGGATTTGGTGTCACTAGAGAAAAACAAATCTTTACATGTTAACTTTATAGCAACCAATCAAACATTATGTTTAAATATCTTTGTCCCAATCAATTCAGACATTGTAGAGGGTCTACAACCAGTGGCGTTTTCTCCCGGAGGCCAAGGGAAGCCAGGCTTCCCCTGTTTTTTCGGATTGTAGGCTTGTTATAATTTAAATAAATAAATAAAAACACTTTGTTTTGTTTCGATACTTCTCCTTTGCTGTGTGTTGCTGCCGGCCCGTCTCTCCCCCATTCTCATTGAGTATTTTACAAAGAGTGAAACAGCGCCCCTCTAGATGTTATGCTGAAACAGTAGATTGCACTCACTGTTGCGAGAGGAGGCCAGCCGAATCTAGCTTCCACGGCCCGTCTACACTACAGGCGTCAAAAAATGCTTTCAACGCTTCGCCCATTCATTTGAATGGGGTGACGTAGGATATTTTCAAACTTCGCCGAACTGCATTGTGGGTAGCATGGCAAGGCGTTGCAAGCATCGCGAGCGTCTATCGGCGTCAAAAGTTGAACAATGTTCAACTTTTGAGGCTCGATGCTTGCTCGTCAGCCAATCAAATCCCGTTTATGCAAATCTGCCAGTACAAGCTAGCCAATCAAACCGCGTTGCTCGCAAAAAATCGCCAAGCCTCAGACACGCCCAGCTTCAAGCTTTTTCCCTGTAGTGTAGACGGGCCGCAACGCAATTGAGGGATTGACCAATCAGATGTGGCTCACGTGATGCCCCTGCCAACCTGTGATTGGTCAGGGCCATGCCAAGTGAAGCCAAAGGCAGCTGGCTTCCCTTGCCTCACAATCCAATCAAATCGCATCAATTTAGTGTTGCAGTGACGCATCCTAAAATCCGGAAGTAAGCTGCGCTCGGCTTCCCTCGACAAAAACGCAATGGGATTTCTCCATAGGATTTAGGAAAATAGCTCGAAATAAGGTCAGTGGAAAACGAACCTGTTAGATAAATGCACGTTTTGTTCAGTCGGATAATATCCAAATGTCTACCCTACTTTTATCATTTTCGAATCATAAATCTAATCGATAGAAGATAGATAGCGCCACTGCACCACTCTCACCGTCGTTAGAAAGTAGCAAGCAACTGACGTAAGTGCAATTATGGAGGGTGGAGATTTGGAGTATTTCATCAAAAATAATTGTACTAAACTTCCGCTACAGCAGCAACAACAAATACAATCTGATGACAGGCTAATGCCCAAACTGGAGCTGTGTACAGCGAGGAACAAAGGAGCGAATCGGACGTAAAACGTTAAAGGTCTCCTGATTTAGTTTGTGAATTAATGCTTATTAGAGTTTCGGCTGGAGAGTGCGTGCGGACCTGTCGGTATAACAGGTGTGTGTAAATCCTGCATCTGATACAAATGTGTGTAAAATGATACCGGGTGCTGTAATCACTCATCTGGTTACGTTATTACATTGACCACCACACCCCCGACCCAAAAGAAAGGACGTATTATTGGCTTCCCCTAATTTTTTTTCCACGCCACGCTACTGTCTACAACGGCCAAAACTACTCAGCTACATTTGAAACGTAATGAAATTGTAAAATGTTGTGATTGCGTTCTTGTAATCGAATTTAAAAAATGATATATTTCGGAAGTTCTCAAGTTGTCTACTTGCCGTCAGGCTTTCAAGGTGAGACAATTAAAGTTTTAGGATATTTTTCACAAAGCATGGCTCATTATTTTGTTTTGTTATTTACAGTATAAGCCTATATTCCTGTTACTGCAGTATTTGGGAATTTTTCTAGAACATTTTAACTATCCAGAATATTTGATATCGTTAATTCTCTATTCCACTTCTCAAGTATTTGTATTTTAATGTCTAAACACACTGCTGCTTCTGCCACCATATCAATAAATGACAAAGTATACTTTGCCATTTGCCAAGTATACACAATCTACACAATTGGAGATCTACACGATTGGAGATTCCCCAATTTACCTGAAACATGCTATCCTTCATTTTGAAAAAAGAATGTCCTGAAGTAAAATGTTTTCTGAATGTACCTGATGTTCCAGTATATACATTAATGTTTAACGTGTTAATTCATGAATAAACCCTTAAATGTTTAGTCATATGAAACGTTGATGTTACCAGCCCCGAAGGCGACACTTGTTGTTTACCCCTTGTGAGCATGTGTGTGTGTGTAATTTTTATTTGGTGCAAGGTGCAATCACAAAACTTTATAAAAGTGTTGCTGAAATGAAAATAAAGGTAGAGTATAAAGATGGTCTTAGTCCAAACCAGGTGGGAGAAGAGCCACCTCACCCCTGGTCAGTCTTGGCATCATGTGTGAATCCACAGCACCATGGTATCTACATGTTGTTTGACATAATAAATACCAAGCTCTTTTACGAGAGGCCATTTTTCAATGAATTATTAAGGATAATTTATACATTGCTTGTTGCGTACACTGTAAATGATCAACAATGTCACGAACTTGGATAAACAAGGAAAATGACTGCAAATGCCACGACCGGGAGGTAAAGTATAAAGGCCCTGACACACCATGCCGAAATTGGCCGTTTTCGTTAGTCGGACGACGAAGCGTGCCCTGTCGCCCAAACTCAATTTGGTGTGTCCCGCACCGTCGGCCGTGACACACCTTATTTGGCCTTTCATGGCCGACGCACGGCCGATTCAACATGTTGAATCGGCCGTGCGTCGGCCACAGGCAGTCGGACAAAGAAATCACTCTGATTGGCTGTTCAGCTAGCGAATCAGTGCATGAGAAGCGAAACGGTTGCTTGAGAATGTCTTCCACAAGCAATACTCCAATGGCTGATAGCTCCAGTACCGCACGAAACATGTTTTCGATGGACGAGAGTGAAAATGGAACGCACACGCTATTTGTTGTTTGTTTAGATCACGCAGTCTGTTCTTCTTCTCTGTCTTCCGGTTGTTGCCTCTTTTGAATGACGAATACACACTACCGCCGCCTGCTGGTAAGGAGAGTTATTGCCACTCACGCATGCGTAGTTCGTACGTTCTCGGCTGAAGTCTTTGCGGTGTGTTCCAATCATGGATGTATAATAAGAACTGGATACAGCGTGGGAGGCGGGGCCTCATTCATTCCTATGAGAGTTGCTCATTAGCGCATGATGACAAAATGGCCCAACTTTTGAGAGAGTGAAACGTCACAGATTACCCAGCATGCGTGAGAAGTACCCGTATGTGCACTCATAGAGCATGCGCAACTTTAACCAAAATGCTCGTTCACATCAAGCACGTCAATTTGCATACACGTAACAGCACCGTGCATTCATGACAGCATGGTAATGGATTGTTGTTATCATGGATTTGATATTAACGAGGCGGCAGTTAGCAGCTAGCGGCTAGCTAGTAATTATGCTAATGTACACATCAATCGTTATGTACTTATATTACGCTGTAACAGGATCTAGTGATATCCAACAGAGCTTCATTTAGCATGAAAGAATTATTGCACTGTATATATATATATATATATATACAGTATATATATATATATATATATATATATATATATATACAGTGCAATAAGCTTCTTAGTGCAATAATAAGCTACAGGGACGTTAATCTAACGTCGGTAATATTAACTTTATTTAATACAACATTTACGGTACAAGATTTAATCATACAGCCCATGGAGTATAATATTTTACAAATGATGAATTACAGCAAACATGTGCAATATATCCATTATTACAGCTCCGTGGGCAGTAAGGCGATATGGGTCCGTTCTTGTGCATCCATGGGTAAAGATAAACGCATGTAGTGCTGAACACGTAACATGAACGTGCCGGGCGGCGCGGTCCCGTGGGTTAGATGCGCGTTCATAATGCAGAGGGAAATAACTCTCAGAATAACGTTATTAGCACCTTTTTACAACTTGAGGAACGAATGTTTTTAATAAGGACTATACAAACGTTCATACTGGGTAGTTTATTTAGTTTTAAAAAAATTATCCGACGAGTTACAGACCACTCTTTCCCCATGTAAGTCAATGGGAAAAAGTATTTCCGGGCCCAGCAACCTAAATGAAGTGTAGTACCGCCGTTTGGTCACAACAAATATTTTCATCAGAATCCGGTGCACTTCCTGGGGGCTTGGTTCCAATGCGACACATGGCCAAGACGCAGGAGAACACGCCGACGCAACAGTCGGCGTCGGCGAGTTCTCTGGTGACTACTTGGTGTGTCAGGGCCTTAAGAAATATACTTTATTTTCAAAAGGTATACAAAAGAAAAACGACACTCTTAGCGAGGTGAAAAAAGGCTCCAATAAGGCACAACGAAAATAGCTCACTATGTGAGGAAAATAATCCGCTGGTGAGCAGAGTACTGGCATGGGGACAGGACAAGACGAACTGACAAAGAACAAAGGGAAGCTGGGGGCTATAAAAAAAAAGGTAACTGGGCACAGGTGGAAACAATCAGAGGCTGACGCTGATGAGGGCGGGAGACACACACCAGAATAGGAAGTGGGAGACAAGACAGATAATGATTAAACGAAAACATGAAACATGACTGAACTCAACACTTTTGACGGGACACAACAAACAACAGTTCTTGTAAGGTAAACCTTTTAGAGGCATAATTATAGTAACACCCCGCCCACAAAGTACTGCCTTGTTCTGTCTTATCTGAAATAAGCAAAGCAAAGCTGAAGGACTGTGATCTCATTTTCAGGTTGTTTTATGTTATTGCAGGAAAACATGGAAAAAGCTGTGATACACTTCATCATCCTGGGAGTCATCTCAGGTGAGCTCTTTCTATTTAAAGTGTTTGTTCCTTTATTTATCAAAGAGAAACCAATAATTATTGACAGACAGTAAGTTTCTCTCTGTTGGAAGCTGTTTCCCTGTTGTTTGAATCTAAATGTCTGTGGTACCCAGATAAACTGTTTATGAGCTTCCACAGAGCACAAATATTACTTTGTCTGCTGCTGTATTGTGTTGTGAATGATTTCTACAGTAGATCCTCTCTCTGTCTCTCCAGGTTTAACTGAAGGAGCTGGTGTGCTGCCAGACGGTCTGAATGCAGCTGTGGGAGGGAAAGTGATGTTCACCACAACACTAACTCCAGAAACACCATTTCAATCAGTGAACTGGAAATTTGGTGCTAAAGATATATTTACTTGGAATGTTAACAACTTCCCTGCACCAGAGTATGAAGACAGGGTCACTTTTATCATGTCTACTGGATCTTTGGAGCTCAGGAACCTGACTCGAAATGACAGTGGAGAATACTCGGTAACCATTTTACTACCTGGAGAACGACCACAGTCAGGGACCACAAGACTGAACATAAAAGGTGAGAGAACCTTTCAAATGTTGCATCTCCTTCAGTGCTGAATGAACCTTCAAAGAAATGAACAGTCTATCATTTTAATGGTGGGTTTATTTTAACAGTGAGGGTAACAATATCAAAAACAAAATCAAGAAATTGACATTATATAAAAGATAAACATTGATTTACATTTAACTGTGGGAAATAAGTATTTGATCCCCTTGATTTTTTCTTAGCAATACGATCATTTTTAAATCAATATTGTGAGTCATGATCTTGTATTTAGTATGTAGCCTTGTAATAAGAGGGATAATGTGCAGCGAGGCGGTTATTTACAATTTAAAAAAGTGAGCAGGATCCCAACGTGCAGTGCCCCCTGCACATTATCCCTTACATATCAGATGCTATCATCTCAGATACAAAACCAGTACAGAGATGGATGCAGCCTGAGACGTCTCATATCTCAGAGTGTTGTCGTTGAAGGCCTGACAGCTGTAGTTCCCACTTTGATTTTGCTGAACGTTCATCAGTTTGAGCTCTGGTCCATCAGACAGCAGGTCTCCATTCAGAAACCACGTAAACTGGGCAGGAGGTCCAGAGTCAGCTGAGCAGGACAGGACGATGTCTGATCCTTCCTGATGGTGTTCTTTTGTCGGATATATCTGGGCCATCTGAATTTAGGGTTAATACAACAGCAATACGTTGGTATTCACAACTGCATTATTATACAAATACAAGGAACTTCTATTACATAGCGAGCATGCAATGCACTGTCTCTAAATATAGGTGTCCAATGTACAATGATTTAGTTCAGACTGTGCGGTAGTGTGCAGAGATGATGTGCTGGATTCAAATAGGAGGGGAAAATGTGTTTTAATATTTTATAAACCCATGCGTGAACAAAAAGACAACAGAAGAAATGGACAATTATCCAAAGTCTTTGCAACTAGATCTTGTTTGGTAAATACAAACCCATGCGTGAATAAAACAAGACTAAACAAGGTAAGATCACTTAACTCGGAAAATTATCTAAACTCTGTTTGCCACTAGATTTAGTTTTTTTAATATACTGAGCATGCAGGTTAGTAACTCACGGTAGATGATGAGTAGGTTTAGTGGAGCACTGGTTCCCTCACTGACGGGGTTAGAAACACGGCACCTGAATGGTCCCTGGTCATAGCTGGTCACATTATTATAGGTAAAGTGGATCCTCCATCAGTGATCTGAACTCTGTCACTTCCTGTAACCTCAGAGCTGCTGTTCAGCCAGAGGAAAGAGAGAGAGGATCCAGAGGAGGAGCAGGACAGACTGACAGAGCTGTTGAACTCCACCAGCTCTGTGCTGCTGGAGGTTACCGTTACATTGGAGACTGGCTCTGTGGGTGAAGCACAACAAATATTTTATAAAGTTACAATAGAAGAAAACATTGAAGTGGCTGAAGTCTCATCTTAAGAGGAGATATTGATTATTCATGGTTCCACATTGAACATTTTTACAAGGTCCATCTACGAAAAAAAGCAACATTTCATACCTTCATGATAGTGGTGCAAAGAATAAAGGGCCTATATCATTGTTTACTTGCTCAATCGCTACGCAAAATCTTCATTCAGCAGAGAAAGATATGCAACATGTGAAACTTTTCTCACCGTATACGTCCAGTCTTGTGGTCCCTGACTGTGGTCGTTCTCCAGGTATTAAAATGGTAACTGAGTATTCTCCACTGTCAGTTAGAGCCAGGTTCCTGAGCTCCAGAGATCCAGTAGACATGAAGAAGGTGATCCTGCCTTGGTGCAGTGACGTTGTTAACATTGAAAGTAAATATATCCCTAATACCAAATTTCCAGTTCACTATTTGAAATGGTGTTCCTGGAGTCAGTGTTGTGGTGAACATCACTTTCCCCCCCTCAGCTGCATTCAGAGGACCGTCTGGCAACACACCAGCTCCTTCAGTTAAACCTGGAGAGACAGAGGTCATTGGAAAATAAGCCCTGGGACAAAATCCTTCATTACAGTCTAAAACAAAACAAAACAAATTCAATTTCTATTTGTATAAGTTAAAAAGTAGAAATCTTGATATTTACTCAATCACATGTCAAATGTCTTACTGTAAATAAAACAACATTTTCTAAGCAATTCACTTTTATCAGTCATGCTTTTGATTCACAAACAATGAAAAGCAGAACTCCAGATTAATAGCAAAACTCCTTTCTAACAACTTGTTTACCAATTCAGCAATTGTTATTGTTAGGAAGTGTAGGTATAGGAAGAGCAGTAATGTAAGATTCTCACCTGTGAAAGCCAGAGACTATCCATAGTAAAGCGAAAATATCCATTTGATGTATCTCTGTGAGATATGAACAGCCACAGAAATGTTAGCCAACAAACTTTGACTGTCCTGATAAATGTGAGCCTCTTGCCGCTCTCAACATATCAGTGAGTAAATGCAGAACTACCTTCGTGTTGAGGTACAAAGTGTCTGCATAATGAGTCAAACCCAGTGAAGCTGCAGACATGTCCTAAAGCTGCAAGACATCGCCCTCTAGTGGTGTAAATATGTTTGCATGACATACTGATGGTTGATAAAGAGACATGAATACTACTGTGGTATTAACAATCAGACAACAGCTGATTTAGTAAATACATATTTAATTTAGGCAAAACTAAGGACATTTCAGGTTATTGCATAATTTTTAAACAATAATAAAATGCATGAAGCAAAAATAATTATTTGGTATAGATCTATCAGTTTTGTTGTTTGACCAAAGAAAACTTGATAATGATGATAAAATGATAAAACAGCATCCCCGCATGACAATCGTGACCTGAAAGTCGGACATCTGAGATGGAAGTCTGAATTCTGAGAAAAAACGTCAGAATTCTGGCTTTAATAAAAAATAATTCAGTTTTTTCGGAAAATCTCAGAATTCTGACTTTCTTTCACGTGCTGCAGTTCAGTCACAAATTCAAAGGTTCGAATGTGCACATAAGTGTACAGCGTAGAAATGGCAATGAACTCCTATGTCCCGAGCTTCTCCAACAATGCAACATAGTAAGACATATACAGTACAGTAGAGTAAAAAAAAAGAAGTCTATATACATTATACATGTAAATAAAATATGATATATATACAAGAACAGAATGTACAAATTAATATTGCACAATAAGATTAGTTTAAACACGGTTTATTACAGTGATAACTATTGAGATAAATAAATTGTAAGATTGGTTGTTCCAATTGGTGATTGGTAGGTTGTGCTAGAGAAAACGTAAATAGATTACTGAAGCCCTCAAATAACTTTTACTTTAACCTATTAATTAATTATTAAGGATTTTTCCAAAGATGCTTGTTGCATACCCTGTAAATGATCGACGGTTCAGGTAAGTAAACCTTTCAGAACCATTGAAAATGGGAAAACCCCGCCTGCACACTACTTCCTTGTTTTACCTTCATATATTGAAATCAGCATTCTTTAATCCTAAAGTGTTTTGGAGAAGCTAACTCAAGGCAAATGAGTCCTCCATTCAAAAAAAGAAAAACTGAGAGGAAAGTGAAGGTTTCTCATATTAGCTGCTTCCAGTGAGACCCCCCCCCCACATTATCCATTTCATCCAGTGTGGTCAGTTCTTGCGGACTTGAGCGTAGGGTTCGGTGATTTCAGGGTGAGGAGCCGGCCTCTTGTTGCGCTGTAGGTGAGCATCGTAGGTTGGGAGAGAGGACGCAGCAGCACGAGGATTGTTGTTCACTCTGACCTCAGCGTAGTCTGACGGTTTATTCTGGTCTCCCATCTGGACTGTTTCCCCGTTATTCTTTTTGGTAAAACGGACATCTGCGTTGTGCAACTCCTAGGAAAAATAAAAAGAAAGAAAATTAATGTAAGATTACATTTACAGTTACATTGGATTGAATCATACCTCAGTGGTAGGCGTCAGCATGTTATCGTCTATAATCAACTCTCTCCAGCCTTAAGCACCGGAGTACCACAAGGTTCAATACTTGGTCCACTTCTTTTTACCTTATATATTATTGACCTGCCATCTGTCTGTCCTGATGTGAAAACACACCTATATGCCGATGACAACGTGATATATGTGCATGCCGATACAAAGCAGAAGGCTGCTGCTAAACTGACCCGTATCTACTTGTCTTTCATCTTTTTTTTATAACTAATGCTGTTGATGTATTGTGATTTAAAGTGTCTATTATCATCTGGCCGGGGACAACAGCTGGAAATTAGTAATGTGGGCTAAAGCTGCCCCATTTACTGTTTTTTGTGACAGTTGATCAATGGGGACTGTCCACAACACTATAAACAAATAAACTAAACTAAACATCACATTTGATGCAAAAAAAAGGAGGTAAACGGAAAAATTCCAAAATCGTTAACAAGATAAGCTATCTCTATAATGTTGATGTAATGACACATATTCACTTATTCTTCATTGTGTCATCTTAATATCTCATTCCTGGTTCAAAGTCTGATGTTCAGCACTGTGTTTACAAACTATCTTAGTAACCAGCAGAGCATGTAAATGACTCTGATTACTTTTACCTGACTTCTTGTGTACGCTCCGTTGTCCTGGCCTTCAACTCCTTTATAGCGTGAGACATAAACAAAGCTTAGAATAACTCAATGAAGGACAAATACATCTGTGAACACACAAACTCATGTTACACGTAATAGACTTACCCGTTCTGGTGTTGGTGTTTTCAGCAGGACGTTTTTTCTTTTGTTTTCTGTTTAGAGAGAACATTAGTCATTAGTCTCAGCAACACAATAATGATACAATCAGCAATATATCTAGTTGTTGGTATTGCATGCATGATAGAGAAAGTAGTTATTTCTTCATAAGAGTTGTAACTTTCATTTGATCTGCATATATAGTCCTGAAAGTATTTGTTACGAATGATTTACAATCATAGACTTTCAAACAGTAATGTAGAGCTCTATAATGGCGCTTTTCCACTACAGGGCCTCGTACGGTTTAAGCGTGCCGTGCCAAACCCGGCCCGCTTTTTTTTGCTTTTCCACTAGGGGTAGTTCCGGCTCAGGGCTACTTTTTCACCTTGTTCTGGTCCTCCAAAATTGAGGTTCTTACCGGGCCAACAACCGGGCTGAATATGCTAAACTAGTGACGTAGACACTCTCGACTGCTGAATGGTCAGAGAGAATCGCTGGCAAGGGGGCTACAACTACAACAAAATGAACATATTTGACCGTGATTTAATTGTAATACACGTTTCAAAATGATGCCGAAGTAACAATATACTGATACCGGTTAGTAAAAACCATGAATTAATGCTTTGACAAGTCTGCAGACAGACGGCAGCCGAAAAACCTTTTAAAATGTGTGTTTTCTGAATGGAGATCAGCTAAGCTAACATTGTATATGCTCCGACCGTCCACACTCACAACAACGGCCTATACAGACATAAATTAACCAGCGACTGTATTCGCCATGACACAGGCAGTCTGTGGTTTGTACTTGTTTAACTTTTGTCTAAATTTCCCCAAATCTGTGGCGGAAAATGTAAGGCGGGGCCTCCCATATGACGCACACCTGCACACTTGCTAGCCTGTTCCACTCTTCGTTTTCCAAATGCCAGGAAGGATTCTTGCCTCGCTTCTGAAGCAAGTGACTCGGAAGACATGTGCTACCAAGCAAGCATCCTCGCAATTGAGAAACGGCCAGGGTTTCTCTCTCCAGCTGAGAGCGCGTTCACGTGAAAGGGGCGGGGTTAACTACATTAGACCAATCACAAACAGGGACAAGTGTATTGACAGCGCAGCGTCATACTTCATTAATGAAAAGTAAACTAATATTAGACAAATATGAACTTTAAACATCCATGATTTAAACATATAATCCAGGATACAAGCCAGACAGTTGCACCTGCAAGGTGAATGCGTACAACAGTTTTATGATATCATTGCCCCAGACACGAGTGGATCTGACTTTAATTACATTTGAGTGTTTCGTCAACTTAATGTGTTGCTTAAAATAATACTTCTGCATACAGTATATGTGACACCACCCGATATCACGGCAAGACGTGAACATGTGACGATTTACCATGCTGGGAGACGTGAAGATGTCACGATTTCGTCCCTTCAAACGTGACAGTTACATGGTATTGTTAACCCATGTTAACCAGTGGAGAAATAACCGGAAATGCCAAGCAAATGCTACCCCGACGTAATGATTTATTTTTTAATAGTCACACTCGATTACGCCAATTTTCTTGTCTCCTCAGCTGGTCGACACCTCTTTTAGCAGAAACAAAGGCTACATTAATGTATTAAATCGATGTTAATACATGCGTTTGGAAGTGTGGATGTGGAATTAACGGACGTGATGTTGTGCGATTGAGTTGCCAGGCAACAGCTTCGGTTCATGTTAATTTACAAACTCTTCAACTACAACCGTAGTTATATTTTAAAAACACGTTAGAAGGCCTCACGAAATACTTTAATGTAAATTAAAATGTAAATGTGAAGGAATGTGTGTATAACAAAATACATCGGTGATAAACGAAACCGGAAACAGACGTAGGCAAGATTCTCAGCTCGATGATTGGATGGTTTAGCCGCAATGCATGCTGGGATTTGGTGTTTATGTGATGTGAAATCTGAAAACGTTTTTTAAAAATAAAATAATACTTTATTCCGAGTGTGCTTGCTTTTCTATTTGAAAGTCATCACATAACGGCATTGTAATACACGGTTCGGCTGCATTAAATATTACATATCTGCCGTAGTTCTCTATTTATAGAGCCCTGCTGAGAAGACTTCTAGACAAACAGGAAGAACTGCCGCCAAAACTGAAAACGTGACGTGGATCATAAATATATAAGCAATTAAACAACATCTTACATTTCTTTTCACACAATCCGTCTCCTTGCAGTATCAACACTAATTCGGCTGACTTTTATATTTGATCCAATTGGTAGATAGGCTATATTTACACCATAACGGTGTAGAGCTGATAGAAAGTCTTAACTTTAGGTTAAGGTCTTCTTTTGAATAAGAAAAAAGCTTTGGGGTTATCGAAGAAGAATATGGAGAGATCAGCGCCATATAGAGATAATTCTATTATATGGCTCTGGGAGGGATGAAACCCTCTTTAATGGTCACACATGCAGAGCACACAGCACACACAGTGACATTTGTATCTACAGATAAATATTAAGCCTGACAAAGTACTTAACGTCTAATATATTGCTTTCCTGCAATGTTAACTATGTTTAAGCACTTATTTGTTTATTATTAAACTGATATTATACATATGTATTATACTCTTGTAAGATGTATGTAGATAGTATAAGACATTTGCAGAATGACAGTTTAATGATGGAGGCACACATTGATAGATGTCTTGTAAGGCACTGTTGAGGAACCTGCGACCCAAGTTTTTCATTCATTGCATAACTACACCGTAGTTGTGTATAATATGAAATGTCAATAAACCTTAGAAAATCTTGAAAGGGATGTGCAAAATAGTCATTATATACAGTCTTTAATTAACTATTAGCAGAGAATAACGAGTAATGAATATACTTTATAGGGATCCTATTAATATCTAATAATAAAATAATAAAATTCAATAACGTTCTTCAACCACCAGGTGTCCCTTTCTATCAGCTCTGCACGGTTATGGTGTAAATACAGCCTATCTACCAATTGGATCAAATATAAAAGTCAGCCGAATTAGTGTTGATACTGCAAGGAGACGTATTGTGTGAAAAGAAATGTAAGATGTTGTTTAATTGCTGATATATTTATGATCTACGTCACGTTTTCAGTTTTGGCTGCAGTTCTTCCTGTTTGTCTAGAAGTCTTCTCAGCAGGGCTCTATAAATACAGAACTACGGCAGATGTGTAATATTTAATGCAGCCGAACCGTGTATTACAATGCCGTTATGTGATGACTTTCAAAGAGAAAAGCAAGCACACTCGGAATAAAGTATTATTTTATTTTTAAAAAACGTTTTCAGATTTCACATCACATAAACACCAAATCCCAGCATGCATTGCGGCTAATCCATCCAATCATCGAGCTGAGGATCTTGCCTACGTCTGTTTCCGGTTTCGTTTATCACCGATGTATTTTGTTATACACACATTCCTTCACATTTACATTGTGCATTAAAGTATTTCGTGAGGCCTTCTAACATGTTTTTAAATATAACTACGGTTATAGTTGAAGAGTTTGTAAATTAACATGAACCGAAGCTGTTGCCTGGCAACTCAATCGCACAACATCACGTCCGTTAATTCCACATCCACACTTCCAAACGCGTGTATTAACATCGATTTAATACATTAATGTAGCCTTTGTTTCTGCTAAAAGAGGTGTCGACCAGCTGGGGAAAACAAGAAAATTGGCGTAATCGAGTGTGACTATTAAAAAATAAATCATTACGTCGGGGTAGCATTTGCTTGGCATTTCTGGTTATTTCTCCACTGGTTAACATGGGTTAACAATACCGTATAACTGTCACATTTGAAGGGACGAAATCGTGACATCTTCACGTCTCCCAGCATGGTAAATCGTCACATGTTCACGTCTTGCCGTGATACCGGGTTGATGTGACAATGTAAGTGTTGCACGGCCAGATACGGCTCGAGAAGCTGACTCAGATAAGGAAATATTGTGATATTATATGATCGATGATCTGATTGATGATGTGATATGAATGACAAGTGCGACACGTCGGCGTCTTCTCTGCATAGGCTACGGCAGTTTAAACTGTATTTCCTTTATCCTGTAGGCCTAATATGACTTGATAGATTTAAACTCTGCACACTGAGCTCTGATTGGTCAGCAGGCGGTGCTTTCACTGAGTTTATCTCTTTTCTATAGACGCCGGAGGCGGGCAGCTTCAGGTACAAAAAAAAGTTATTTAGCCTTCCCAAACCTGAGCCTCACGTGCCGCCTATGCCTACTAAGCCGTGTGAGGCCCTGCAGTGGAAAACCGCCATAAGAGTCTCACCATACTTTAACTCATGGTGGTGAATCATATATTCCATCCATCCATCTTCTCCCGCTTATCCGTGGTCGGGTCTTGGGGGTAGCAGTTCCAGCAGAGAGCCCCAAACTTTCTTTTCCCTGGCGACATCAACCAGCTCTGACTGGGGGATCCCAAGGCGCTCCCAGGCCAGCGAAGAGATATAATCCCTCCACCTGGTCCTAGGTCTACCCCTTGGTCTCTTCCTAGCTGTACGTGCCTGGAACACCTCCCTAGGGAGGCGCCCAGGTGGCATCCTAACTAGGTGCCCGAACCACCTCAACTGGCTCCTTTCGACGCGAAGGAGGAGAATATCATATACAGTATTCCATCACAGTTAAATATTTATACCTTGCAAAAACAGAATGTTAAACTTTGAAGTTGTACAGTGTCGAGGTGCGGCTCCATTGTGAAATGACACAAACAAGTCATAACTAAAGGGCTTAGGAACATATTGAGAATATATAATAAGAGCACTCCCTTTGTTGAACATCAACACGGTTGAGTAAACAAGGTTGTTACACACAATGTCTACACCATTCTGGCTCCACATTTTCTGTCTGATATCTTCCAATGTGCTGATCCTGAATCTTCCTCCTGCCTGGTTTTTGAGTCAAGCTTTTGGGTCTAAACTTGGAGATACTGAGCCATCACCTTTCCCAAACTTGTAATTGAGTATTACTGTGAAAATAGGTTTATGTTAAATACTTAAGATCTTTTCCGCACTTACTTTTTGTCATGAAAGCAGTACCACACAATAGCAGCTACAACACAGAGGACGACTAAAACACCGATTACTATTCCAGCGATGCAACCAGCCGAACAGCCTTGTGGGCCTTGAATAAAACAGGATAAAAGAACATGATTTTTACATCATTCTGTAAACAGGAACTGTCACATTATCTCAAAATGCCTGTGGATAACAACAATATTACATTTCTCCCCATATGAGATTTCATAGCTAGTTATAAAAACCTATAACATGATTCTGTTAAGCATTGTTCACCCTGTTTAAAATGCATTTTAAATGATCATAAACCATTGAGTCCAGGCTCATTTCCTTCTACAGTCCCTGTTCTATTGATGGCATTAAAAAAAATGGGTAACACTTTATATTAAGGTACACACATTCACCATCAACTAGTTGTTAAGTAACATGCATATTAGCAGTATATGGGCTGTTTAATAGTCATTATAAAACACTTATTAATGCCTTATTCTACATGACCATATTCTACAAGTAATAGGTCATTAGTTGAGAGTTTTTCCTCAATAACCCTCTCATTAGTGCTTATTTGTTGCAAGTAAGGAAGTTGTTGTACATGAGTTTCGGTCTTAAAATGCTCTGCTCAATATGGGCCAAATAAGGCAGTAGTAGCACAAGAATAGTAATTCTCCCATAATAACACTTAACAAATATGGTCTATTCTTATGTAACAAGACATGAAACTATAAGTGTTAACCCCTAACCCTTTAGTTACCTCTGCTATCTATGGTGGCCGATAGCGGCAAACACACCACAATGGCCCAAAACAGCTTCAGAATTTATGCAAATATAAAAACACAAATGTGCCAAAACACATGCAATGGCAGAAACATTTTCACATATGTACAGCATTTAAAAAAACATTCACGAAAACATTACGGAAATAGCTGCATAAACTAAATGCTGCAAATAGCAGCCGGGACTAGGGGCCTCATTTATAAAGGGATATACGCTCAAAAGATGGCGTACGCCAGTTTCTAAGCAATGTTTGCGATTTATAAAAAACTAACTTGACGGGAAAACGTGCGGTCCTCCACGCAAACTCTAACCCATGCGTACGCACTAAGCACAACAACGGGAGAGACGAGAAACTGCGACACCGTTGGCAGAAGGAAGAATGGAGAGACATATGTGGAAATAATACCATAAATAAAATGTTACCTCTCATTTATCATATATGAAGAATTCATTTTCAAACATTGATTAAAGCCAATCTTAAAATGATTAAACAAACGCCTGTTTGAGACTCCTCAGTGCACACAAAAACATAACTTGGAGAAATAAATAAATACGGATATGTTGTTGATCACCCCTCGATTATGTTCTCTTGTTAAGGAATGTATTCTCATAAATGATGCGGTAAGCAGGAGGACAGAATTACTTTAAACTGACGCCCTTTTGCTTTTTTATAGGTTGTAGATACGAGCATGGTTTTATATACTATCACGTTTAATCATGTTTTGTGCCGTTCGCCAATAGCCTACTTGATAAGTCGCTCGTAAAACACAGGAGGTATGGAAACTAAGAACACCATATGTGGTAAATTGTACAGCTAATATAACACAACACATTAGTTGTATTTCCTTTAACTGGTGGATTATGGATATATAGTTGCTGATCGACATCTGGAACACAAACACAAAATAATTCAGATCCAGTCGTCATGACTCCACTCCGGAGGGATTCCCCGATCATTTCTTACAGTTTCTCATCAAGAAACATTGCGTACCTCGCCGGTACGCAATGTTTTGTGGATCGGAAAATGACGGAACATTTCTGTACCTATTTTTTTAAATGTCTACTACGTAAGCAACCTTCCCACGTGAATCCACAGCACAGTGTTATAAATGAGGCCCCAGGGCACTTGTTGACATTTAGCAGAGTTAGACTGTTTGATAATTGTAAGTGTCTTGTCAGTTTATTTTAAATGACATGGTTGGATAGGTTAGGAATCAAGCAATGACAACGGTTGCTTTCTAACAACAGTGACAGTCCAACTTTATGATCCACGAACGTCAACAAGCACTCCGGTCCCAACTGTGTGCATCACTATTTAGTGTTCCGTTGAGCTTCTTGCGTTTTTTATTTGCAGAATTTTGTATTTACAGTATTTTGGTTATTCCGCGCTTTTAGTAAATGCTGCACATGTTTTGTCAAGTTGGTGAAGATCTTTCTTAATGTGCATCGTTTTTGAAAATGCAGCGGATTTCTCCTGATG